AATTCAAGAAGTTCCAACCATTCAACCTTTCCATTTTCCATACCAAGCAGACTCTTAAGGGCCCAAACCTATAACATAATCATGCCAAGAAATACGCAAACTCTAAGGAACTATTTAAACATTCTATTTTAAAAACTATTACCTCGTAGACGATAGGGTACACTTAAATTCTGCACAAATGGATAGACCAAAAGGCCTTCGGTTGGTGTCGTGCAAAAGCCAATCAGCCGTAACAGATTCTTATGAACAGCTACACTTATCATCTCAACTTCACGTTGGAAAGCTGCATCTCCACCAGGACTTTCAAAATCAATAAATCGTCTACTTTTGTGCTATCAGCAAGAACTCCTTTATAAACCTTTCCAAAACCACCCTGTCCAAGGATATTCTTTTCACTGAAATTGTCTGTAGCCAACTGTAATTCCCTCCATGCAAACCTTTTCAGTTGACCAAAAGTAATTCTTCTGTCAACTTTCACCTAAGCATACAATTTAAAAAAGAGTTTCAAAACAAAACATCATGGCAAAAGTGCATATTAATCTTTTAGCTACAATATCCAAGACAGACAAATTTATGGGTAGATAATCATGCGCAAAATAGACGTGTTTCAAATTGCAATTATTAGTGCAATCTTGATTAATAATAATTTTAAATTCAAAAATCTCATTTGTTTCTATAAGCCATTGTGTGTTTTCAGAGTGGCTAGTGGCTCATTTTCTCCAGTTGCTAAGCCAAAAGCAATCTTACTTTCATATAAAATCCAAAGTTTTAAAATTAGACCAATGAGACAATGACATACTTTACAATGCATGTCACCATCCACATGATGAGCTGAGGATCAACTTCAAATAGCATCTCAAGGTTACAAGAAGGTTACAAAAGGCACCCAATAACCACAAATCACCAAATTATATTTATCATTTTAACTGCAAGGAAATTTGTGCCACTTGTACAAATTTAAGTAAAACCTTGCTCATAGCATAAATCACTCAACCTACATAAAACTCATTGGACCTAGAAGTGCCAAGCAAACAAGAGAAAATGAAAATGAGAGAGAGAATTGTTAGGAAAATGATAGAATTATTTTTTCAAAGAGTTTTGACCAAGTGAAAAGTAATACAAACCAGCAACATTCACAAATACTTCGCGTTTGTAGCCTTTCCGTCTACCCCTCCACAGGAAGAATAGTAAGCTACCCAAAAGAACCAGAATTTCAAGTCCAATAGTTCCAACAATAATTCCAATCCTGGGCTTTCGAGAACCACCTACCAGCAAAGAGAAACTCTAGCAATTAGCTGGTCAAAGGAGCAATGAAACTTCAGCTATACCTTAGAAAGCATTGAACATCATAAAAAAAAGAAGTAACATAAGGCCAAGTTAGTTAATCCAATTACCTGAATCATTCACAGATACACAGGGGTGTAAAGAATTTTCAACACAATTTAAGCTGTTTCCTGTGAAACTGAACCAAACAAACTCATTGCATGTAGAGAAACATAAGAAAGAAATGGGAAACATACAGAAGCATATATGAAGTGAGCAATTTTTGTGTAACCAGCTAGATCATTAAAACTAATACTAATCAAAAGTTAGCCATAGTTGTATTGTGGAATTTGGAAAAGATGATCAGGAATTTGACCACTAAGATCATTTGAATCAAGCTGGCCGCAAAGACAATTTCAATTATGTTGTCAAAAACTTAAACAGCGTCAAGGACAGACACTGCAGAAGGCTGGAGCAATTTACTCACAGTTCTACTGAAAGTCAAGTAATAGATATTTAAACAAGTTTACTAGAAATTAATAAAATATTATGACTTACAGATTGATCAAGTTTGGAAGACCAGAAAGTGACTGAGGGATTGCCCCAGTAAGATTGTTTTGACTTAACGTACTGCTTGCATAGGGTAAAAAAGAACACCCTTTCATGAATATTGAAAGAGGAAACAGGAAAAAAAAGTTACAAAAACATACTTCAGAAGCTAAGAACACTATTACTTACAAGAACTGAAGCTTTTGAAGGTTACCAAGGGAAGGTGGTATTTCACCACTTAAATGATTATTTTCCAAATCCAAGCTGGTCAAACTTGACAAGTTTCCAAATTCTTCTGGTATCTCACCAGTTATACCACTTCCTTTCAGTGTACTGCATGTAGAACACACAGGATATATTATGATTAACTTTAAATTTGTAAAATGAACTGTTTGCTCCAATGTAGTCAATACATACAGTGTTGTAAGAGTCTTCAGAATTCCTACTCTAGGGGACAAGGTTCCAGAAAAGTTCATGGATGATAATGTTCTGCAAACAAGAGTGTAGCGTAAGCATCTGTTTGTAAAAAAAATTAAGTAAATTAAGACATTAAGATTGCAATGATGACTAAATACCATAAGAAAATGGTATTAGCATGCATAAAAAATTAATTTGAAAAAAGAATAAATTGGAGACAACTTACACAGATTTTACATAATTGTTACTATCACAAATAACATTTGACCAAGTGCATGGGTTAACTTGATTTTGATTCCAATCTGTCAACTGATTGGCTGACGCATGCAATGAAGTCCTCAATGCATATAGTGCATCTCCTGAAACAGAACGTGTAGATTTTGACAATCTAATATGCAAATAACAACCTCCCCTCTGTATAGAACTAGTTTACGTCAGACATCACACATTCAAGCACAAATTGGTCCAAGTTCCATGAGACTTACTACACTAATTTGATAATAGTTTATTAAAAAAAAAAAATTATAACTACAACTATATCATAGCTCAATGCGGCATCTAAAAACGACGCCTTAATATTTAAAAGCTTTTTAGAAAAAGAAAGAGGAAGTAAAATACAAATTTATTTATAATTATTAATCAAGAGTCAAGATAATTAATACTACGTAAAAAGGAACGGTTAGGAACACCCAGTAGAGTTAAGCGTGAGTTTTGAGTCTGTCCTTCAACATTTGATTATTTATTCATGTTGAATGTTGATTGTTGAATTCGTCAACGCAACCGACACGGAGTCCCCATGCTCTTATTAATATTACTCAATACCAACCAAACAGACCGTTATTAGCGGCAAAACGTATTTTAAGTCCTTGAATTTATTCTAAAATCTCAGTTAAATTTTTAAATTTTTATTAAAGCAAATAAACCCTTAAATTGGACAATTTAAATAATTTAACTTTTTTTCTTAGGATGAACTTAATGCATATTTGTGTTTTACTTAAGTAGATAAAATTAACACCTACCATATAAATAATAATATATTAATACTTTATCTACATTAGTGATGTATAAATGAACATTAAGTTTGTCCCAAAAAAAAAAGTTAAATTACCTAATTACTAAGTTTAAAAATTTATTTATTTTGATAAAAATTTAAGAATTTAATTAAAAATTTAAGATAAATTTGAGGACTTAATATAGTATTTTGTCTTTATTAGTAGTATTACTGGAATTCCAACCAACGAGCAGGTCGCAGCACCTGGAAATTTTTATAAAGTGCATTTTACCTTCGGCTGTCGATTGGGCACACCATTTTTAGTATATATCTTCACCACAGGTTGAAGTCAACTCAAAGTCGATGGTATTTGAAAATTAATTTTAGTTTTTGGCAATTTGTAGTATAACTTTAGTTGTTGCACTTTTTTTAACCCAATTATATAGAAATTTAGGCTATATTATATAATTGTAATTTTTAATTTTTTTAATAAATTGGGAAACTTAAAAAAAAAAAAGGGGGGAAAACTTGTTTAGTTTATGTTTGATTTTCAACATATTAATATAATTATTTTCTATGAATATATTAATACAATTATTAGAGAGATAAAAACAAAATTATTTTCTTAAAAGGTTTGTAATTTTTAAAAACTATCTTAAAGAAATTTATTAATAATGATTTTTAGTTTAAATTTATTAATAATTGTGTACTTTTTAATAATATGTAATTTAAACACCAAACTTCTAAATGGTCAAAAAACAAAATTATTAAGGTTATAAATCTGATATTTACCTGTAGGATTTTACTACCTAAAATACGTTCTCACCTTCTAAAAACTTTTAAAAGGGGTTAATACTTAATAGGGGAAACAATGTTTATAGTAAAATAAAAAGTGATAACTAGGACACTTCTTGTTAAAAAACTGTAACAAGGCTTTAATTTTAAAAATACTAGATTTGTAAAGCGAAACTTTTGAATTTAATTACTCATTCCATTCATTTATAATAAATTTAGTTTTTTTAACTAATAATATAAAGATATAATAATTTATTAATAAAATTTTACATTTATTATTAATTAAGTATCACTTAAATAA